AATAAATAGCCAGAAGTTCCACATTAAGGTTTATGGAAGTCAAAACGCCAAGCTGGTGGGAATGAAGATTTCAGCGCCAGGAAACAGCCCAAACACCGATGGAATTCATGTGGCGGAATCCTCAAGAGTGACAATTATGAACTCAAAAATTGGCACCGGAGATGAATGTGTCTCTATAGGCCCCGGCACATCCAACCTGTGGATCGAAAATGTCGCCTGCGGCCCTGGTCATGGAATAAGGTACTGGTTTTATCACTTCATATATATATTTGCCTACTCATAGGTGACCTATAAATTAAGTACTGAATGCGTAAGTTGATTAATGTGTGCCTGTTGCAGCATTGGCAGTCTAGCGTGGCAACTGCAAGAACCTGAAGTGCAAAATGTGACAGTTAAGTCAACTACATTTACAGGAACACAAAATGGGGTAAGGGTGAAGACATGGGCCAGGCCAAGCAAGGGGTTTGTTAAATATGTTCTTTTCCAGCATCTTGTAATGGTTAACGTCCGAAACCCAATAATTATTGACCAAAATTATTGTCCCCATCACCGCAAATTGTCCTAATCAGGTAATAATATCTTTTGTAGCATTATAAATTTCATTGTTACTCTTTTTTATTTCTATACAGATACAGAAAANNNNTTATTTCTATACAGATACAGAAAAACCCAACTCCCACCCTATTCCACCTTGCGTATATAGGATGACATCCAACCCCGATTAATTCTGAAAATTATTTTATTTTTTCAGGTTTCGGGTGTAAAGATTAGACATATAACTTATCATGACATACATAGGAGTTCGGCAACCAAAATTGCAATGAAGTTTGACTGCAGCAGTGATATTAACTTGAAAGACGTTAAGCTGACCTACAATAATGAACCGGCTCATTCGTCATGCATTAATGCCAATGGAAAGGCTTCTGGCTTAGTTCAACCTAACAACTGCTTGTATAATTAGAAAACTATTTGAAGGATCTATACTTGAACAAGATTATAGATCATACACTAAAAACTAAGATACGAAATTCAGAATGTGTATCGACACAATGTATCTAATACAAGAAATAAATTAAGTTTGTACGAATGAAAGTGAAGCATTGCAACCTAATATTCGATTAACCCATCGATGCTAGTCCTATCTCAATATCTAACATGGCATGATGTGTCAATGAGCCTCCAGGTTTTGAAGCTCAGCCTAAATTCATTGTTTTTCTTTTAATTGATATATTTCATGCAATTATATTTCATGCTGAATTGAAAGTTGGAACTTTTGGTTGTTGCAAAAAATCATCTGCAGAAAATAATGCACGAATACGGACAGTAGGCTCACATTTTTTGTTCTTTTATAATTAAAATTTGAAACCAATATGGATGTAATGAGTTTAATTTACTGGAATCGATACATCTACGAGTAAAAAGGTGATTGATACATTTGTACTTTCGACTCCTTTGTATTAATAATTAGAGAACATTGTGATTGATACATTTGTACTTTCGACTCCTTTGTATTAATAATTAGAGAACATTCTCATAAAAAACACTTCAAAATAATTACAGCTTCAACGACAAAAAGATGCGCCTCCTCATCATGAATTCAAGCAATGAAGAGGCATCCCCTTGAAAAAAGGTTTTGTTTTTGAATAAAGAGCGAGTGGAAGCCCTAAACACGGAAGATTCGTAGTTCAACTCAACATCTTGGGTGTTCACTCCTTGAAATATGAGTATTTTGGGGACAAAATCCGCTCAAATAAAAGAGGCATCCACCCACAATAAGTGCTAGTGATAAACATAGAGATCCAAGATCAAGAGAGGTCTCTAAGAAGATGTCCTTTGGACCAAAGTCACCCTTATGCAACAACTCTTCCAAATGTAATGGAATACGCATAATCCCTGTAAATGGGGAGGCCTTATTATCCAAGTACACTACCACAAAATTATCCAGAAACTCGTATAGTGCATCATTTATCAAATTGCATAAAGTAGCATGTATATTTGTAGCCCAAAGGGTATAACTTGAAATTCAAAGGAACCATACCTAATCATGCAGGCAGTATTTGCTTCACCCCCTTAAGCTATTCTTAACTTCCAATGGCCAGATCGCAAATCCAACTTGGTGAAGAATGAAACATTCACCAATCGATCAAACAAATTAGCAACATTAGGCACATGATATTTGTTCTCCACCGCCACCTTATTCAGTACACGATAATCTACCCACATCCTCATGGAACCATCATGCTTTTTCTAATATAAAACTAAGATACCATAAGGAGCTTTCGAAGGCCAAATAAAACCTGTATGAAGTAAATCATCAAGCTGCCTTCTCAACTCTGCCAACTGAGACAAAGTCATTCGATATGGGGCTTGTGTAGGAGCCTATGCACCTAGTTTGTGTTCAATTTTGTGATCAACAGCACGGCGAGATGGAAAAGTTCTTGGAAGTTCTGGTTGCATCATGTCAACAACCTGGTCAGGCACTTCCACAACCTGATGTTCTTTAATTTCTACCAAGGCTGAAACAAAAGTCATTTTCCCTTTCCTTAGATTGGACTTAAGCTATTTGGCAGATTGCATATCCTCCTAAATTTACTTTCCCTCATTCTTGTTAAGATACCTCGCAGCACAAAACAAGGATCACTTTCAACAACAATGTATAACCCATTGAGATGTCGTACCATGGACATCTTTGCCTTGACAAAGAATTCGATACCAACGATTAAATCAAAATCATCCAAGGGAACAGTCATCAGATTGCACTTTCCCTCCCATTCATCCACACGAAGGGTGATTTCAATAGATCCCTTCACAAGTTGTGCTGTAGAATTCACAACCTTAATTTTCGTGGCCACTTGAGTCATGCTTAAACCTAGCTTCTCAATAGATAATTAGAACATAACGCCCTTACCTTTCAATATTATTGTGGAAAACTACCTTACCTTTCATTTTTGTTTTAACATTTTCACCTTTATTTCAACATTTCATTTCGCAAAATGTCGTTTTTATCAATTTTCTCAATTAAAGGCTGTGAAACGATGAATATACCTTGAAACAAAAAAAAGAAAGACTAATTGCAACCATACTCCCAATTGTTTTTTAAAAAAGAGTACAAACGAGCCCCAAATAACTTATTGAAAGTGTAATTAGCAGATATTATCCCTACCTTTTCACTATTATTGTGAAAAAGTCCCAACCTTTTATATATATATATTTTTTCATCTTTTGTTACACATTTGATTGCGCAAACAATCATTTTTATTCATTTTCATCCAATTTCTCAATAAAAGATGTGAAATGACAAATATACCCTCCTATTTAAATAAAAAATATAAATAAAGAAATTAATTTTTTAAATTTCTAATTTTTTAATAATTTATTTGTGACTCATTTGCACTTTTCTAAAAAAATTTAATTTTTAATTTTTTAATAATTTATTTGAGACTCGTTTGCACTTAAAAAAAAAAATCTCTAATTTTTTAATAATTTATCTAGGACTCATTTGGACATTTCAAAAAAAATAAAAAAATTTGAGACTATGATTGCAATTATTTCTTTATTTTTTATTTAAATATGAGGATATATTTATCCTTTCACAGCTTTTTGTTGAAAAAATAGATAGAAATGATTGTTTGAGCAATAAAAGGTGTAATTAAGTGTGAAATGTAAAAAAAGATGAAAGGTAGGGATTTTTCACAATAATGGTGAAAGGTAGAGACATCATGTGCTAATTATCCTTTTAAAATTTTATTTGAGACCCATTTGCACTTTTTTTTTAAAATCTGGGACTATGATTGCAATTAATTCTTTCTTTTTCTTTTCGTTTTTTAAACAAAAATGTATTTTCTTCATTTCACAGCTTCTAAATGAGAAAATAAATGAAAATGACATTTTGCATAATAAAAAGTTGAAATAAGGGTGAAAATGCCAAAAAATGAAAGGTAAGGACATTTTCCACAGTAACATAAAAGGTTTGTGTTAAGAAGCCCTTCTCAACTATCTTCGAATTTACAAAGTTGTTGGTAGCATCGATGTCTATCATTGCCAACACTCCCAATAGTAACCCAAATATATATCAAGCCGCACTGCAATGTAATGATGGTGTTCACGAGTTGTAGATTAATTCTAGATGGGGGGCTTCATGTGAGTTATCATCATCGCCTTCTAACCTTAAGACATTCAATTTCTCACTCTTTGGATTTTTCTTTGCACAATAGGGATTGTTGTAAATGAAGCAGCCCCTGAAACTTTTTGATTTCAATTGGGACTCATCACCATCTTTCAGTTTTGGAGCCTCAACTTTTTTTTTTCTTATCCCCTTTTTCCAATCTTTCAATGTACCAGCCTTCTTATCATTGTTCTTCCTCTGAACATAGGAATTGCTGCCCAACTTGTAATCAACAAGATAATCAGCTGCAACCATTGCCGAAGGAAGGTCCTTCACTTCTTGCCTTCACAATTCTGCATATCCCAACTCTGTAATCCCGGACATAAAGTTGAAACGTTTATCATTCTCGGATTGAATATCCAGCATTAGACTACTGAATTCATTCACTTATTATCAAACGCTACTAGACTGCCTTACCTTTTTAAGAGCTTCCCTTGTAATCTAAGTTGTATTGCAATGCAGGAACTGATCCTTCAAATCCTTCTACAANTATTATCAAACGCTACTTGACTGCCGTAACTTTTTAAGAGATTCCCTTGTAATCTAAGTTGTATTGCAATGCAGGAACTGATCCTTCAATTCCTTCTACAATGTTTCCTACGTAACAATTGATAAATGGAATGGAGCTTCGTCATCCTTCACTTGAGTTTGCCACCACTATTTTGCATCGCCCGACAGATACATCAAAGTGATATTTACCCTTTTATCCTTTGGAATATGGGCAACTTTGAAATACTACCCCATATCCCACAGAAAATTCTCCAACTCTTTAGCATTACGGGTACCCTTGAGCTATTTCAATTCAGGGACACAAATTTTTAAACCACTCACTGTGTCCCATATAGTAGTACTATTTAGGGCCAATTCAACAAGAAAATTTCACTCTCTGGGAATCAAATCGAGCCTTTGTTTTATCAGCAAGATCCAACAAATCTTTCATGAATGAAGATTGCCTTTCATCCACTTCGTGGCATACTCTTTGAACTGTGCCCTCAATTCCTGTGCACATTAATATGTGTATGGATTTGTGAAGCCAAACTGATTGCACAGTCAATCATAGGGTACCAACAAAATCCTCCGGATGACCCCCAACGGTCACTTTTTTTACCGTTCTGACATCTTCAAATGGCTAGTTGATTACACGATCCAGACGTCCTGATGCATTGTCCGGATGGACAACGTTTTGGTCGGTTTGAATGCTATAAATACATCACTCACTTTTCGTGTGCAAGAGCCATTTTTTGAGCATTAAAGTGAAGCTTTTATTGATCCCAACAACCTTATTCTCTATCCTTAGAAGATCAAAAAGAAAAAAACATCGAATTCTTGAAAAACTTTGGAGCGATTAA